CTAGTGAAGATGCTGAATATTGTTGAAAAGACACAAAGGATTTTGAATATTACATAAACTTTGATGATAAAACAACAGTAGAGTTTAAGATGATTGACTCACATTTTTAAAGAAGTTCTACTGTGCATAAAATGCTATCACACAGCATTGCACGCTAAATAAATCTTTATTGAAAGGAAGAAACAAACTTCATTGTTGACATATTTTAAGAAATTGCCACAGCTATCCCAGCCTTCAGCAACCACCACCCGAATCAGTCAACAGCCATCAACACTGGGGCAAGACCCTTCACCAGCAAAAAGATTATTATTCACTGAAGACTCATATCATTTTTATTTTCTAGCAATAAAGAATTTTTAAATTAAGGTACGTACATTTAAAAAATATGCTACTGCACACTTAATAAGCTACTGTATAGTACAAATGTAACGTTTATATGTACTGGGAAACCAAAGAATTCCCAACTTACTTTATTGCAATATTTGCTTTATTGTGGTGGTCTGGAATGGAACTTGCAATATTTCCATGGTGCATCTGTAACGAGCAAATTTAACCTAGGCTGAGAAAGTATTTCCACTGATATTTAAAGTTTAAGTACGTTAGCCAGGTAAAGTAGGGGGGAAAGTATTTCAAGCAGAGGTTAAGGTCCCTGTGTTAAGGCTGTGAGGCCCAAGGGAAAAGAGTTTTCTCTTTAAAAGGACTGAAATAAAGCAGGCATGGTTTAAGCATGGTTAGGGAGGAAAGAAGCCTGAAGGGAAAGGAATCCTGGAGTGGGGTACAGAGGTGGGCAGGCAGAGTACAGAACATTAGGGATTTATGGACTCAAGATTTATATTCTCTCACACCAAATTAGGAAAAAAAAGAGGTCTCTATTTTTGGGCAAGTGTTTTGTTTTGTTTTGTTTTGTTTTAACAGCTTTACTGAGGTATAATTGTTTATTACAAGGTGTTTATGTAGGCCAGGCATGGTGGCTTACACCTGTAATCCCAGCACTTTGGGAGGCTGAAGCGGGCAGATCAGCTGAGGTCAGTAGTTTGAGACCAGCCTGGCCAACATGGTGAAACCCCATCTCTACCAAAAAATACAAAAATTAGCCGGGCATGGTAGCAGGCACCTGCAATCCCAGTGACTCAGGAGATTGAGGCAGGAGAATTGCTTGAACCTGGAAGGTGGAGGTTGCAGTGAGCCAAGATCCTGTCACTGAACTCCAGCCTGGGTGACAGAACAAGTCTTTGTCTCAAAACAAACAACCAAAAATCCAAACACACACACACACACAGTGTTTAAGCACAGATGGCAGCATCATGGGATGGGGAGCAATCTAACCCCTTAATTTATCTTCATTTAAAAAAGGCTGATATATAAATTAGTATCAATCTTACATTAAGCATAAATAAAGGCATCCTCAGAAGATCACATTTGCATTGACCTGTAACATCAGTTTGTACTATATAATGCTAACTTAGGTCCTGTTTCACCCCCACCTTTTACCTTCCAATGTCTAAAAACCTCCTATATAGAAATCCTGACTACTACAGAGTTTTACATTAGATTCTCGGAACTGCTAAGTGGAGAAAGGACTATAGGATGCAAGAGTTGATATGGATAACTCAGTAGAAGGCTTTTGAAAAAGGAACAGTAGAATCATGGCAGCTCAGATGCAGCACCTGGGCAGTGAAGATCACAAGCACAGCTCCAAAAAATATTTAGGAGATTGACTTTATACTTGGTGATGACTGAACCTGGGGGTAAGGGAGGGTTGAATCATAAGGAATGCCAGGGTTTCTGGTTGGGACAAGTGGATTGGTGGCAGTGCTACTAATGAGAGGGGGACAAGAGGAAGAGCAAATTTAGTGACAGCATGAATTTTATTAGTCCACCTGGTGGAAATGGTAAATCAGTAAAGGTCTGCAATCAGGAGACAGAAACAAATCTGGAGGTCACTGGCTGATAGCTGCTAACTGAAGCTACAGGAGAGGATGAAGTAGTCCAAGAATGTTGTGACACGAGGAAAGAATGCTTAGGACTGAACTTTGAAGAACGCTATTATGTACAGATTAAGTAAAGGAAAAGAAGCCCACAAAAGCAGTGAGGAAGAACAGTATAAAGATTGAAAGTGAGTTAACTTTAAGTTAACTGAAAGTAAGTCCTAGATGCCTAGAGGTTTTCAATTTTAGTGTCACTTAACAATGTCACATATTGCCACATGAAAAGCTAAGAATGAAGTCTCTCCAGGACTTAGGGACATAGAGTTCGTTAATGACTCTAGTGAAGGCCACTGTATACAGTGGGGCAGTTGCCATAGTAGGTTTTAAGCACAAATAGGAGGTAAGGACATGGAAAACATGGTAAGACACTTGAGAACTCTGACTGTAAAGCAAAGATAGGACTGTGATTGGAGAGAAATATGAGAAGCAGATTTCTTCTGATGAGAATGGCATGTTCAACAGTCCTTGCAAAGAGCAAAAGTAGAGAGGAAAAATACAGACCAAGTAACAACAGACTCCATAAGAGAATGAGAGGAGATAGGATTCCAGCACATGTTAAGTAACCAGCCTTTAATAAGAGAAGGGATTTTTCCTGTATAGGAAGAGGAGGAATGAAGTGAATGCAGATGCATTTGTGTACATGGGTATCATGTTTCTTGTTTTGTTTTTTCCCTGTGAATTAATCAGTTAGGGGGTGAAAGGGCCATTAGAGTGAAGGTTTGATATAGTTCCAGAAGGACAGAAGAGAAACACATTGATTTTTGTCAGCACTGACAGCCTAACTGAATGTGCTAAGCATGAATTTACAGTGATAAAAACCGGAAACATGACCTCCAGCTGCAAGAATGCAGAAGCAGTGTTGGGTTCATTCAGGGTTGGTGTTTTGCCAGGCTAACACAATAGAGCAGCAGCACACATGAGCTTAGATTATTTGCATCTGCTGAAGTCCAATTAGCCAAAGACCACCAGGCTCAAAACTGTTTATTGATTTGCAAGCAAGGGAAACAGAAACAGCGAAGATGGTGCATTCCACAAGAGAGCAAGGTGTGCCATCTTTGGTAAGGTCTGAATTCCTACTGTAGGGTTCTGAGCAAGCTCTAAGGGAAGGGAGACTAGTTCTGGGTTGGACACTATTTCTGCAGCAAGCTTAGAAGTGAGAATTAACTAGGGATTGGTGCTGCATTAGATGAGGGCAGTTTAGCAAGTGGATAACCCCATTAATAGATGAGTATAACAAAGCAGGTCTAAGGGTGTCACAGGTAACTAAGCAGTGGTCAGACAAGGAGGGAGTCATGATGGTATTTTACAGCTGCTGCAGGACCTAAAAGTTTCCTGTTAACTTTGCAGCTGTCTTTATCTCTCTGTCCCCCTAACCTGACAGTGGTTGAGCTGCTTTTTTTTGTTTGAGTCACTTTGAGTCCTAGAGTTTACTTTCATGCCAAACATCCTCCTCTCATTACATGTGATTTTTCTCCCTTAAGTACAACTTAATCCATATTCATCTCTCCTCCCTAAAGATTTAATGAAGTACCTAATTATAGAATTAAGCTTGCTTTCTGACAAGACTCAGCCTAGAGTGAACCTCCAGTTTCTTAGACCATCCCCCAAATTACCCAGCCAAAGCCCAAATCCTATCAGAATCCTAAGAGGTCCTAACACACTCTTACCGATGTACCCCATAACTCCAAGGTGTGTGTTCTCCTTCACTGCAACAGTGAGCTCAACATGTATGTACAGGTATGTTCCTGGTAGTCTATGTCTATAGAGGGTCAGAGTTGATGACACAACTTCTACGTTAAGACCAATATTTGCGTTTTGTTGCCAGAACACAAGACTATGATATTTACTAGCACCTGTGTCTTTGCTCATTGGAGAGTGATCTTTCCTCAAGACTTGCTGACATGTTTCCGTTGAAGGCATGGCAATCTTAAAGGCCAAAATTTGTGGAAAGGGGCAACTCTTCCTTTCATTATGTACTTGTCTGGTCAATTATGCAAAGTCTGGTCAACCAAAGATCACCAGGCTCAAGCCATCAGTTTTAAAATATGGCCACATGCTCCTGATGGCCTCCTATCTGAATATGGTTTTAGTGACTCACTTAGAACCAAGGGAATACAGTGGAAGTTAATGCCGTATGACTTCCAAATGCAGCTTCTGAGTCTTTTGAAATGGCCCCTCAGCATTCAGCCAACATGCTGAGAGAAGTCCAAGCTACATGGACAAGTGAAGTGTAGATGGTTCTGGTGAACCATTTCAATCTAGTCTTGGCTTTAAGTCATCTCAGTACCATGACTCCAGATGATTATAGCTACCAGATGTTCAAATTACCCGCAGCCCTATTTTCCTTGACTAGGCCTCAGACATCACAGACTAGAGAAAAGCCATCTCCAGGTTCCTGAATCAGAGAGTCCATGAGCATAATTAAAATGATTGTTTTAATATGCTAGGTTTCTGTGCTTTTTTATCAAGAATCACTAACACTGGAAATAGATACTGATCTTGTTGGTAGCTACTGTGAGTAGAGCAACAGTTGGTGACAATGAGTTAGTGGGTAAATACTGGACAGTTATTCACAAAGCAGCTGCTAAAAGTCTCAAGTATATGCTGTTAGCATTCCTTGTCTCTGGTCTACGGTATTGCCCTTTCTCAACACCTCCTCCTCTCCCTCCAATATTTGCAGTCAGTGCTATCTTTAGAACTGCAGATTATTTTAATAGCTACCATGTTACAGGGGCCATTTGGAAAAAGAATTCTTACTACTACAATGATCAAAAACTCCAATTATGTACAAACTCCCCCTTTATAGAAGGAATTTTAAAGTTTTATGTTTGTTTTTCAAGGTAGACTTGTTACTGAATTCTTTAGAGAATGAATAAAATATCTTCTAATATGATGTATTTGATTTCAAACCATTAAGTAAATTCATTATGTCAAATATACAAGTTCAATAGCAAATTATTTAAAATACCAGATGCCACTGCAAAAATTTACAGGAAACAGAACTATTTAAGGTTTATTTTCAAAGTCTAATTTTAATTCAGACTGAACAAACAAGCAGAAAAGTGAGAAAGCTAACTGTATTAGCAGACACAGATGTACCAAATGTAAAACAGTGGGTTATTAACAGAACTATTTACATGCATATTTACAAGCAATCCTTTTGTACATAAGTTTTATTTTTAGTTAGCTGGAAAAAGATTTGACATTAGGTAAAAATATTATTTATTAGGGTTGAGGTGGTACCACATTATAGTAAAAGTATTAGAAAAGTGACCCTCAAGGTGTATCAATTATAAAGCAGATGAAAACTTGAATGACAAATATCTAGTAAAATTCTCTAGTAAAAAAGTTGATGCAACCCATGCTACAAAATAAAAGTGAGAAAGCCATATAAATAAAGCAGAATAATGTTCTAGGCCTTAAGGTAACGAAGTTAGTCAGTTGAAAAAAAAAAAAAAAAAAGAAAAAGAAAAATTCTAGAAGTGAAATAAATCTTCGGTGAAGTCTTGGTTGTTTAGCTGGAGTTCACCAAGTCGTTTTTCTTCCCCCATGACATTTAAAAAGCCCTTGGTATCAAATAGCATCTGCATATATAAGTCAGTTGTTAATGATATATTCCAAGACTTGAGTGCTAAAGATTTTCAAGATTATGATTCATATTTGAAATTCAATTCACTGGGACACTAAATGTCAAACTAAAATGAAAGCTATAATACTGCTACCTAAAAAAGGATGCTACATTTCTGCAGTAATATGTTATTTCCAGACTAAGACTTTTTCCCCTCAAGAAAAGTAGAATTTAAAGGATAAGCATCTAACCAACTAGCAAAATTTTCAACATTTCATTTATTTCAAAATCGATTTTATTGCAGCCAAAACAGTAGAATTAACTGTACATAATAAACTATTATATATATATACACATTTTAAGTTATAGGGAATAAAGTTTATTTTGGCAGATAGTGTTAAACAAAATTAAAGTTGCATACATTAGTAATATAACTCAACATCCTTAATTTGGTATAAGTATGACACATTTTCTTGCTTTCCTGTGTTCTGCTAAATCACCATACCTAAACTGCTTTATAAAACTGATATGCTGAAATTTAACTTTACTGTTTTCGCTTACGCTCTGATTCCAAACAAAACTTTTCATAGGCTTCTTCTATCTCTGGGTCCATCTCATCATCAATATCATCCAAGTATCTGTAAGAGCAAAGATGATTTGTAAGTGTAAGGTTTTTCAATTCAGAAAATGTCTAAGATGCTGAGTCATAAAAAAAAGAATGTAATACAACTTTCCTAGACTGAATTATAACAGAACACAAGCCTAACCTAAGAATTACATTAATGGCAGTCTTTGTACAACTAAATGCTTAATTTGATCATCTACTATACTTTTAGACATAAGTTAATTTCTACAACCTGAAAGTTAAATCAAAGGCTTGACATATAAGCTTGGGCTCAAGATTGATATTAATAAATTTACCTTATCAATAAACAATTACACTATCACTATTAATATAACATAATTTCAAATATGCCATTCACCTCTAGTGATGCACTAATATTTTATGTCTACTTAACAACAGAAAGTGTTATTCCTGCTATGATTTCTGCTGGGTTATTCCCATGATGACAGTTTAGTCACATTCCCATTTATTTGGAATCAGACTTTCATAGAAAGCTACTTTTGAGATCATCTATCCCAGATTTTTTCCCAACTATTAGGTAGTTTAAAATGGTGGAAAGCAAGGCTTCCCATAGTTAAGTATGGGGGAAAGATTTAAAGTGTCAATTAAGGATTTAATCTACACATTCTTACTGAATGCCCATGACCATCTTAAAAAGATATACATTATGATCATCTTCATTTTGGAGATGGAAAATAAAGACTCTGGAAAATTAAATAAACAATGTAAAATTTTTAATGTGTGGCGGGGCCAGAATTTGTCTGACTCCAGGTCTTACCCCTTTTTCTACACTTTTCCTCCACAACATGATTCTAGCTACACCCTTCCCTCCCCCAGTAATCCAATCCTTTCCACCTAACAAGTGTGAAAAAGCATCCTACCAACTGCTGATGGGTACTTTTCTGTTTCTTCCCCATTTCCAATACAGGGCCATGTGCTGAAATAACCATGAGCTCATTAGGGCAAGAGAATATGATGCTTATCCAAACAAACTTAAGAGGATAACCTCAAGTTTAATGCCATAAACAACTTTATCTTCCAGTGGTATATCCAAGTAGACTGAACTTTGTCCTAGTGCTGCCTGGGTCCGTAAGTCCCTATATTTTTTTGTTTCCTATTAAACTAGAATATAAATGTATGGCAACATTGTATTTCTAGATCTCAAACTGATCCATAATTAAAATATCAATAGAATAAAAGTGCTTCACTTTTTAAAAAATCTACAACACAGGAGATGAGATATAAAAAAAAATAAGTTCAAGATATTTATTCCCTCCCATCTCCTACTTAGAAAGAAAAGAAACTAAGTAGCTTGTCCAAATATACACAAGTTGTTAACAGATTTGGGATTAAATCTCACAAGTTCCTGGTCCTTTTATAAGAAAATGTAGTGCAATCTGATGGTGAGTAATACGTTAAAGGTATCTTTAATTACAAAGAGTGGCAGGTGAAGAAACAGATAAAGGATCTTATAGTAAGTTTTAGAGCTTCTTATTTTGAAGTCTAGGTACAATAGAATCTATTTAATCTCAAAAAAAAAAAAAAAAAGACTCAAGGAGAGATACTACTATTCTTATTTTATAGCTGGAAAAGCAGACACAGAAATTGCCCAAGATCTTACACTAAGTTTTAGAACTTCTTATTTTAAAGTCTAGATACAATAGAGTCTGTTTTTTTAAAAAAATTATGCTTCAGTATATTTTAATGGTTATCTTCCTCAACTATAGATTTTCCGAACTAATCTGTGAGTTAATACAATTTTCTGAAAAATTTTAGTACATAAGCACTACCACATAACAACATCATATCAAAATACTGAAATGCCTCTTTTTTTTTTTTTCCTAAGACAGAGTCTAGCTCTGTCTCCCAAGCTGGAGTGCAGTGGCACAATCTCAGCTCACTGCAACCTCTGCCTCCTACTTTCAAGCGATTCTCATGCCTCAGCCTCCTGAGTAGCTGTGATCCTGGCTAATTTTTTGTATTTTTGATAGAGACAGGATTTCACCATGTTGGCCAGGCTGGTCTTAAACAACTGGCCTCAAGTGAACGGCCCTCCTCAGCCTCCCAAAGTATTGGGATTACAGGTGTGAGCCACCACGCCTGGCCCCAAACACCATTATTTTATGAGCTACTTTTTCTAGTCTAATCTCCACCTACAAATTAGACACAGAAATTTCATGAAGAATGTTAGTAACTAAAGAAAACTTACGGATCACCAGCCCCTGATAAATCTGTTCCATTTTCTTCATAATCTGGAAAAAAGTCCTCTCTTTCAAGTAACTCTTGATATTTCTCTTGATAATCTGTAAGATAACATAGGAGAAAAACTAAATGCTGAAAAAAAAAATCACATGAAATGACCAATTACCCCTAAATGTTTTTTAATATTATGACTTTTAAGTAGATCCAGTGTCTAAGTAACAGTAAACTACCAATTATGTAAAAAAACAGCTTTTATAAAACTTATTTTCTAATTGGCTTGCTTTTGTCCCCTCCATGCTCGGAAATCTTAGTGACATATAGTACTGTAAGTTGGAAATCAAAACCATTGTAGGTGATGTTCATTTATGGCTAATGTATACTGTTTACATACTCTACTGCTGCTTTCCATCAGTTCTGAGAATGGAGGATTTTCTTTCCCTTTCTTCCCAGAGAGATGGGGAAGGTAGCTACCTGGTAGATGTTTCCGCTCTGCCAACTTTCCCTTCATTGAATCCTTCAAAGTAATAAAGGTGACATTAGAGCTCTCTATCTGCCTTGTCTTAGGAAGAGTTATTGGATACCTTTTAAGATTAGTACTTCTGAATGAAGTCCTAATCTCTGAATTAAAAAATGAATCAGCATCTATTAAAACTTAAAATTAGTTTCTTACGAACAGAAGCCAACAGAAATTTTGAAAGGCTATTGCAATTATATTAGACTGGGTAAAAGCCATGTTTTTCCAAGACTGTGTCAGTCTGTATAAAACTCTTAACTCCAGCTTCAAGGGCTGGGGATATTTTGATACCCAATTTTGACAATTTAGAGACAGTTTTAACAATAAAACCTTCCTGCTACAAATGCTTGAGGTACTAGGTAAGACAGGCATTCTTTAAAATGTATGGATGAGAGTTCACAGAAGAGAAAAACCAAGTCATCAGGTCACAAATGAAGAAGGAACTGAAAGCCATGTATGAACTGCAGCTGCTGCAGCTGGGAGGTTAACAGATGGTGTTGGTCTTAGTAACTAAGGGGCTTAGATTAAAAAACCCACAGAAAGTCAGAAAGCAAGGTATTGGGCCAATGTGAAACAGGAGGATGGAATCCATGCTCCACACCCATCTCACCTGCACAAACCTGGGACCCTCAATGGGCAGGTATCTTAAGCAAAAGTTGCATCAGGAAAACAAAAACAAAAACAAAAACTACCTCAGTGGTGTTTCATCTGAGAGAGATAGCAGGGAAGCTTAGTTGTGTCTACCTGGGTTTGGAGTGGGGACAGAGCACTTCGTAGAAACTGGTTTCCCAGAGAATTTTTAATAATGGGCCTCCACCTCAAATTCCTACTACCTACATAAAGAACCCCTATGACAAGAAAATAAAAAATCTGTCCAAGTCAGTGATACCCACTCTGGCTCCTGGCAGAAGCAAATGTAAAACTATTTTGGATAAGTTTCTATAATACAATGAAGGTCATATTATTATGAAACTTAAATGGTTTAAGAAAAAAGTGTGTGAAAAGAGCACAAATGACAAATAACTGTTAACAAAAAGTATACCTGGGTAAAAGGTATTCCTCGTACAATTTTACTTTTGTAATTTTTCTGTAAGTTTGAGTTCACTTCCAAATGAAAGTTTAAGAATGACAGTTAAGGAAACAATTTTAAGTGTGATAAGAAATAACAGAAGGGTTATAATTAATAGATAAAACAAAAATAAAAAACAGAAGTAAGCATGCTGAGAATGATGAGAAAAAAATAATTTGAAGCTCTGAGAAAAGGTCAACATTATTTGAATAAAATGCAGAAACAAAATTCAGCTTGATTTTTCTGTAAAACTGTTAGATTTCATTCACTTCCTTGAAGTATAGCAGATTTAAAAACAACCCCTAAGAAAAAGAAACAGATCTATTGGCTGTATTATTTCTTTTCCATGAAAAAGAAACTGAAAAACCAAACTGAATTTCTATAAAACCAGTCAGTCACTAGAAATAATTAAACCAGCCTGACAAAGATAAAAACAGTCAAAATAAATCAAGGTAATTTTTAAGAATAAGAGGAAAGATTTGTCTTACCATACATAGCAAGACTCACAGGAAGGTAAAAATAATTAAGTGTAGTATTGGCATAGGAAGACATTAACAGAAAAAAAGATTCACACAAACACAGGAATAAGACACACAATTTTATAGAAGAGTTACAAGGTATACAACAGAGGGGGCTTAATATAACTAGAAAAGGAAGGATGATTTAATAGCTATTGTTGAGACAATAGTCAATGAAAAGATTTAATTCCTATGATATCACCCTATATAAAAATTGCTCTGGTAGATTAAAGACCTTAATATGAAAAGGAACAATGATTTTTAGAAGAAAACGAAGTGGTAAGGAAACTTTCTTAAACCACAAAAAGTAAAAGACTCACAAATTTTGTTTACACTAAAACTCAAAGGTTCTACATGACAAGACATTATAAACAAAATGCCAAAACAGCCGCATACAGAGAGAGAGAGAGGATAACCAAAACCCTCAGCTGACTACGAATCACTTTTTTCTAGACTACACAAGGAATTACAAATTAGTAAGACAGACAAATAATCGAACACAAATATGAGCAAAGAGTATAAGCAGGCAATTCTCAAAGGAAGAAATCAAAAAGGTCAACAGGAATAAGAAAAATTCAATATCACTTATAAGGGAAATAAAATATTAGCAAGGCAGAATTTCATACAATCCGACAGGCAAAAATTAAGTTTAATAAGTATTGCCAAAGATGAGGAGCAGGAGCCCTCATATGCTGCTGATGTTAAGATTAAATGGCATAATCATGCTGGAAAACAATTTAGTAACATTTAGTGAAGTTTTAAGATGCCCACAGCATGTAACTTAATTCTACTTCCTTTTCCTAAAGAAACTTCTTTGTGCTAGAGGCACAGGACAGTTAATGCTTATAATCCAGAGGAAACATACGGGAAAATTCCAACCATAAGCTGGTTGCAGTTCGTACCAAATGGGAAAAATTTCTCTTCCTCACCCTACAGTCCCATCTATTACAATTAAGATAATCTTGCTATGAATGGTCCTCTTTCGGAAGAGGAAATATGCAGAGATTTGGATTTTAATTAACTCTCACCCACCAAGTATTAATACGATGTGTAATTCTTCCTGTTGACAAGTATTAATCCCTATTAATATATGTTGCTGACTATGTAGTGAACTAGAACCATTATTTCCCCTCCAATCTAATCATCTGAAAGCTTAAGAGTATAAAAACAAATATCAGAGGAAATATAAAATTACAATAGTTGCATTTAATTGAGAATTCTTCCCATCCTCTGTTAAGCGACATGACACTATATGTGGAATCAGATTTTCATTTGAAATGGTTCAAGTGGTCACTATGAAGAGCATTACTATATTAGACAAACCATTACACTGGTTTTTTAAAATGATGTGAAGACATCAGAAAGTTAAAATTTTGTGCTGGTGAGGATGTGGTTTTCTGTAAAATTACTGCTTTACTAAACAACTGGGAGGAGGGAATGATTGTGAGACAACATACCTGGATCAGCTGCAGTGAAAGGAACACCATCAGATGTATAAAATGTTGGTTCATTCTAGGATGAATCAAAGTGATACAAATATGTAATCATTTCAGAATTGATTTTTGTAAGTACAATAATGATGCATGGCTGATGTCACTCGTCTGCACCTGATAATGCAAGAACAAGCAAAAGAACCTAACTTCCTAGTAGCCATTTTCATTTCACTGAGAAAGTCTATGGTTTGAAACTATGGGTTTCAGATTTCCATTCTATTATTTCAAGTTCTTGTGGTTCTAATGGTGCTGTCTATTGTCTTTTAGTGAACTGTTCTGTTGTGCATTGTCATTTCGTGTCGGCGCATTTTTAGCTGTGGTTTCCCCCAACCCCACCATTTCCTTTTTTAAGAATTTCCAACATCCGGGCTGGAGGAACTTTCCTCCACAGCTGCTTTATGTTTGATCATGTCAGGAGCTTCAGGGCATCATTGGCCTAGTAACCATTTTTATTTTCTTATTTTTCTTTACTACAACATGCAAAGTAAGAGTCTGAGGTGCAGGTTCTTGGTTATGAATTCTCTGGAAAAGCTGCTTCCTGGCATCCCTGTGCTCACTTAACTCCAAGCCTTGTCAACCTCTCTTGCCACTGGACAGATCTTTCTCTAGTCCACTCTTTCACTGGAGAATTCCAGTCCTCTTCATTTTTTCAATCTGATGGCTGCAATGTCACTCAAAGCCAGTGAAGAGAGTTATTAGGCACCAAATTCTGAGAAGAGCTTTATGTAGCTCTTCTAATTTCCAAAATCGAATTCAAGCAATAAGTAAAACTTAAAATATAAACACTGGCATACCATAAAGTAGTTAGGATCATTTTCTGGCGTTGCTTCTCTGTATGTTGAAGTTGCATGGACTCTACCCCAGTTACTTGACCGGAGTTCCACAAGCTTCAAGAGCATCTGTTTGACATCTCTGGGACAAAAGTTGAAAACAAGTTAGTGTATCCACCATAAGGACTGTCAGACCCTAAAATATCTCAGATTCCTAAAACTTTATTTCCTGAATTTAACATGTACATTTGATGCCTTGACTTTCTAGACATTTCCTATATGACATAAATTCATTTAAAAAACAGCCTTGCATTATGTTTCACATAACTATGACTATATGGGCCTTAAAGGCAGTGGCTATCCTTCAAACATTTTTATGGGTCCTACTATACTTGCACCAGTACTTTTACTTGTTAGACAGTTAATATCTGGATCATTTTTTCATTTAACTCCTATCTTAACATAAGAAAATTAAGTTTTTCAATTTCTAAATGTAATTGAGCAAAAATGTCCAGTGAGCAGAAACTGTAAGTAAAATATTATTCCTTTAAAGAAAATATTTTTGCATATTCATTACCCTTCTGAAGTATAGCAGATTAAAAAACAATCTCCAAAGAAAAAGCAAGAAATTGACATGTACTGGCTATTTACATTACTTCTTTTCCTACCTACTGCAGTTTGCATCTAGGACAACATTTTCAATTCTCTGAATAATTTCTTCCATATCCATCTTTCCTTTTTCCTTCCAAGCATCTTCCAAAACTGATCCTGTCAACTAAAAAAGCAGGTGTCCATAAAATAAGAAATCCGATAGTGTATTACAGAAATTCTAAAAGGATATCAGTTTATTCCTTAAGATGAATTTAGCAAGTTTAATATTCCTAATTATTCTCTAATATTCAATTATCTCCACACCCTCTGTGGTTCCCTTGACTGATAAAAACTAAAGAATTAAACTATAGCAGAACTTTAATCATGGGTTTTATGTCAATGACTATGTTATAATCTCTATATGACTAAGATAGGCCATTAGATTGTAATGAATGTTTCTTTTTTTTTTTTTAATATAAACATGCAACAAAGTTAGAAGCTTTCAATTAAAAAACACAAACACATTTCATCATGAAATAAGTGAGTTAAGGATTTAAACAGGTAATTTATAGAAAATAAAAAAATGCCTAATAAACATGAAAAAATGCTTAAAATTATTAGAGATCAAGACAATGCAAAGTAAAATGAGGTTTTTGTTTTTAACTCATCGTCTACAAAACAAAAACCAAGACTGATTACATCCATCACTATACGGATGTAGGAAGAGATGTAGATGGAGATATACTCTGGATCAGCATTTAGAAGACAAATTAGCCATTATTTGTTGTAAAGTACATATGCTCATTGACCCACCAAATCTGCGTTTACGAATTTAACCTACAAAAGTATCTGCACATATAAAGACATGAGGAAAGATAACTAGCAATGCTGTAGTGGCTAAACTGAAGATAATGCAAATATTTATCAATAAATCTTGATGGATCTTATGGAATGGATAAACAATGCATACAATGGAATACTAGGAAGTTATTCAATAAACAGGTAAATCTGTGTGCTATGGAAAAATCTAAGATGTTTCATTAGATGGCCAAAAAAAAGCCAAAACAGATCTTATTTAATAAGAGCATACAGAGGGATAAGAAGGGAAGATGACATAATTTGCAAATGGAAATGGGGTAAAGGACTTCCATTTTCACTTCTGAATCTTGCTTCATATATTAAACAATAAGTGTATCTTGCTTTTCCGAAATATTTCAGAAAAAAGTAAAACACCAATATTTACCTTTAAGTAATAATCTTGAATTTATCTGTACACTATACAGACTTCCCTTCTCTAAATTATAAGTAAACAGGTAAAATAGTCAAATTAAAAAAAAAAACCTACCTTCAATAATTTTACTGCACAAATTAAATTGTCATCCATAGGATTAGAAAAGAGGGCATTCAGCAGCTCTCGAAGACCAACCTGAAGAATATCTGCTCTTGTAACCTGTCCATTTGTTCCCTTGATCTTTCAGGCCAAAAAAAAAAAAAAAAAAAGGAATGATGCTAAAATATAACACAGATACATAAATGAACTAACAAGCTGTTGGCAAAATAGGTGTTTTAGCTAAATCACAAAAGTCACAGGAACGCACTCTGATATCTTCACAGAATTAGTTAGAATTACTTTATACGTAACTAAGACCTCTACTAAAACTGATAAGCTATGGGTAAAATTTGATTTCCATTTATCACACATATAGTCAGCATAATTTAAGTCTACTTTGATGTTACCGCTTCATAAAGCTTTCTTTAGTTTTTTCACCTACCCCTTTTTTTGAACACACAGCTTTTAAAATATTTTAAAATATTCTATTTTGCATCAGAGTGGTATACGTATCTTTTCTCACTGGGTAGAAGAATTTTAGGTATAGGAACTAAGCCTTGTCTTCACTCCCATTACAGACCTAGCATCACTACCTCCATATAGAAAATGCTCAACAGTATTCTTATTTTAGATTGCTGTCCGTATTTTGGCTTAAACAAAAATTAAGACTGAAAAAGAACATGGCATACAATTTTCAAAAAATTAAGTCCACCTGTGGTAAAAAGGGATAGTAAGTTAGGCTCTGAACTGGACACAGACCTTTTAGATACAATGACTCAGAAACACATTGGATGGATCCACATTGTCTTACGATGTTTCTGATATTATGGCATTTATGATCTTAAGTTCTCGAATCAGGGTACAAGAAGGTATAAGCTTGTATCCATCTGAGATTCACTAATTTAAAAAATCAAGCAGAGGCCAGGAGTGGTGGCTCATGCCTGTAATCCCAGCACTTTAGGAGGCTTAGGCAGGCGGATAACCTGAGGTCAGGAGTTCGAGACCAGCCTGGCGAAGATAATAAAACGCTGTCTCTACTATAAATAAAAACATTAGCTGGTCATGGTGGTGCATGCCTGTTAATATCAGCTTCTTGGGAGGCTGAGGCAGGAGAACTGCTTGAACCTGGGAGGTGGAGGTTGCAGTGAGCCAAGATAGAGTCACTGCACTCCAGCCTGGGCAACACAGCGAGACTCCATTCCCACCAAAAGGAAAAAAAAAAAATTCAAGCAAATCCATTACATAGTAATAATGTTGTGCTGAATGTAGCACTTCTACCTACTAACAAGTGTGTACTTAAGTATACCACCAAAATTTATAAACATGTTTAGCTGTAGACTTTGTACAAATGTATTTTTATGTGGAAGATTAATATGTAAAATAGGACAAAAAACAATTATTGGGGTTGGGGGACTGGGGAGATGTTGGTCAAAGGATACAAAATTTCAGTCGGGGGAATAAGTTCAAGAGATCTATTGTATGTCATGATGACTATAGTTAATATATTGTATACGCAAAAACTGCTAAAAATTTTAAGTGTTCTTCACACAAAAAAGTATGTAAAGTAATGCAAATGTTAAATAGCTTGATTTAGCCATTCTACAATGTATACATATATCAAAATGTTGTGCACCATAAATATATAATTTTTGTCAATTAAAAAAATACATATTTAAAAAAACAATTTGGGTGAATTAGAGTGACAAGCCTAGAGAGACTCGAGTCTCTCTTCTTTTCACTCAGAGTTCTGCAAACTGCTTTGAGCCACCATCTGAAAGTCAACCTACTAAATATATTAATATATAATATGTAAGAACTCAAAAACGTATCACTGTTGATATCTCAAGAGCTTAAGTTCGCATGTAAACTACAGCTTCCTAAAAGTATGCAGACTTTAAAAACCTCAGTAATTATTTCCCAACATCCTGCCCATGAGCAAATGTTATGGACAGATGGTCCAGTAAAACACAGACACTACCATGCGTAGGTGCTGAAACATGTTTTCTTTCCTTTTCCTTCATTTTGCTCTTAATGTTGTGAAAGGACAATGTGAAAGCAAATTCCTCATTGAGATCAATTTACGTTCTCAGGCCTTCTTAGCACTTAACAGAAGAAAAACTTCTCACCTCCAGGTTAAGGTAAAGCTCTCCCAGAAAGAGTACAAATGCATGAAATCGTTTTCGAGTAACTTCATCCCCTTTTGCAGCTTGATCTTTAACTTCATATTCAGTCCGACATCTAATTAAAGAAATATCTTTTATAATCTCACATTGCTTTGCTTTTTAAATAGTCAAACAAGATGGCCATTTGTCAGTTTGGCTGTCTACAGCAAGAGGCAAGTACAATGTCCCAACACTCTTTCTGCAATAAAGGAATAGTGTTCCTGCCTACTGAAGAGGCTAGAATATACACCCTGTCTTTTCATATTAAGACTCCCAGTTTTAAAAAACTGATAGTTTTATTTTCAACTATTTTTATTGAATTTGCAATATGTTTAAGCAATATAGGTGTAATTAGATTCACAGCATACTGACAGCACCAAAAAAGGGGAGGAGGAGCCTTACCTCATTTGTCTTATAGGTTTGTTGTTAAGAAAGCACTGATTTTACCCAAATTGTCTGTGTAAATTTTTTTTTGAATACAACTTTGAGGATCTTTAAATACACACATACACACAGCCTCCAACTAACTGAAAATTAAATGAATTATTTTAAAGTCCATTATTCTTGTGATTTCTATTATATTTATCAGGAAAGTATTAATGTGAGGAAAAAATTACCCCAATAAAACCACAATATAGAGAGCAACTGACTTGTTCTCTATTTCCAATGAGACTGACAACTTCAAAAAACTGATTTTTCCTTGCTCTATTTGCCCGTGACTTGACTTGACCAATTTGCTTCACACAGATGACAAAAAGAAGAAATCCTCTTCTTGGAGCTTATGGTCAGTCACAGTTCCTACAAGGTAACTAATCACAGTAAGCCTGTCACTGCCTTCATAAGTGAATACGGTATCAGATAATGGACTATAAAAGTTTATCATTTTGTTATTAAGTATTTTTAATCTTTATTGATAAGGTGAGAAAACTCTGGGAAAATCTTTTGTTGTGTAAAACTGGTTTTAACAGTTTTCCTTTTAAAGACAAAGGGAAGAGCTATGAATACTGAATGGTTTCCATGCAGCCAGGTTAGGTTGACTTTGAAAAAAATTTTGAATAAAGAAAAAATAAATTACCTCTTGTTCATAACTGACTCTGGGTCAGTTTGTCAACCATGAAACCCCAGCACAGCTTACTGTGCTTATGTGGCCAATTCCAATGTTTATGAGGTATAGTAACTAAGCAACATCTTCTGTTTGAATCAAACGTAGTAAGATATTTGTTACCATCTTGTACATATTAAATTCCTCATCAGCAAAAAGTTGGGATATTTATACATAGTATATTCTGGTTAATGGAAGAGACCAGTTAATTAATGCCCAATCAGTTATTTAAAAACACGTGTTGGCTGCTTTTCTTTCTGTTACAACTTTGTTGGTAAGAGTTGATGAAATAACTTCATAAAATGCTATGACAGATTGCATGTTAGGATTTGATTATGTACATGCAAACATAAATACCTACATGGTTGACTAGGTGAAAAGACTAAAACTTTTGAAGCTAAAGATTTTCTATTATAAAAGCAATGTATATTTTAGAAAGGTTAAAACAAAAAAAGTATAAAGAACAAAGTTACCAGTAATATCACTAAAACCAGGAGGAAACTACTGTGAAGGTAACTTCCATTCCATCTTTTCAAAGGATGTATACATTTTTAAAAGAGGTAGCAAAATTATGCTCTGCTTTTTACTTGTTAGATCACTAGCATTTCTCCACATTAATATCTTTGACAGGATTATGGTATTATAGAAGTACATAAGGCAGGTAACAGTCAATGAGAATCAGAGTGGGTCTTAATCATAGCTACACAGTAGAATCATTTGGGAAGCTTTAAAAAACCATGCCCTAGCTCTACCTTGTCCAGAATTTCCAAGGGTTCAGATAGGGTCACAGCCTTATGTTAAGTCTCTAGGTAACTCTAAGGCACAGCCAGGGGTGAGAAGCACTGAAAAACATGACAGTGAGCCTTTCTGGCATCCCACCTTCTATAAGTATTCACTCTGAATCTTTCCAAAAGCTATAATTTGTGTTGCTCTAATTATAAGTATGGTTAGATACCTTTTTATAACTTTGTCATTTGTATTTTTCCAAACTGTATCTATATCTATTTATTTGAGGCCACTCCAAGTATTTCTATAAAGATACCGGTCTTTTTGTTACTCATTCCTAAGAGGCCCCTCTTTTTGTATTAAATAAATAAGCTTGGCTGGATGTGGTGGCTCATGCCTATAATCCCAGCACTTTGGGAGGCCGAGGCAGCCAGGTCACGAGGTCAAGAGCTCGAGATCAGCCTGGCCAACATGGTGAAACCCAGCCTCTAGTAAAAATACAAAAATTAGCTGGGTGTGGTGGTGCACACCTGGAATCCCAGCTACTAGGGTGGCTGAGGCAGGAGAATCGCTTGAACCTGGGAGGCAGAGGTTGCAGTGAGCTGAAACCGTGCCCTTGTACTCCAGCCTGAGTGACAGAGCGAGACTCCATCTTAAAAAAATAAATAAAATAAGCTCACTATATTATCTGATTTTTACTTCATAAATGTATGCCTTCCCCCCAAAATGCTGTAATCGGTATGTAACTAAATGTATTAATCGCTTGTTTTAGGGCCTGTGGGTATCATGTCGTTTAAAAGGGCTTTACCAAGCCAAGATTTCTGTTTACTTGTCAATTTCCTCCTTAGCATTTATCATCTCACTTTTAAGTCTCTGACATATTTGGGATTTATTTTAGCAAAGAGTGAGACAAGAACTCATCTTTTTTTTTTTTTTTTTTTTGAGATGGAGTTTCACTCTTGTTACCCAGCCTGGAGTGCAATGGCGCCATCTCGGCTCACCGCAACCTCCGCCTCCTGGGTTCAGGCAATTCTCCTGCCTCAGCCTCCTGAGTAGCTGGGATTACAGGCACGCACCACCATGCCCAGCTAATCTTTTGTATTTTTAGTAGAGACAGGGTTTCACCATGTTGACCAGGATGGTCTCGATCTCTTGACCTCGTGATTCACCTGCCTCGGCCTCCCAAAGTATTGGAATTACAGGCTTGAGCCACCGCGCCCGGCCCAAGAACTCATCTTTTTTTTTCCCCAAATGGCTATCCAGTTATGCTACCAGCACAATTAATCTTTTTATCAACAGCTTGAATTTTCAAGGGTCTCTGGGGTCTACTTCTAGAATCTTTATTCTGTTCCACTGCAGTTTAACCACACAATGGAATGCTTCGTAACCATTACAAGTATCTTAAAAAACCAATGGACAAACTATAATGAACTTGAAGACAACCTTGTTACTGAAGACATCAAATTACAAGAAAACTAGTTTTCCCTAAATTAGCTTATAAATTCAGGATTATCTCCAAAATATCTAACATATTCTAACAAGACTTGTGAAATTTAAAACAATGATTCTGAAGTTCATTGGGCAAAACAAGCATAGCAAAGAATATTCCACAGGCCGGGCATGGTGGCTCATGACTATAATCCCAGCACTTTGGGAGGCTGAGGTAGGTGGAGGTCTAAGGTCAGGATTTCAAGACCAGCCTGACCAACAAGGTGAAACCCCGTCTCTACTAAAAATATAAAAATTAGCTGGGCATGGTGGAGAGCGCCTGTAGTCCCAGCTACTGGGTAGGCTGAGGCAGGAGAATCACTTAAACCTGAGAGGCAGAGGTTGCAGTGAGCCGAGGTAATGCCATTGCACTCCAGCCTGGGAGACGAGGTGAGACTCTGTTTCAAAACAAAACAAAACAAAAAGCTTTTTAATAGCTATTGTATGGTAATAAAAAGTAATAGAATAAGTAGTAAATTGAATGAAAATTCAGAATCAAAACTCAAATAATGCAGTGTGAACAAGTGGCAGTTCAAATTAATAAGGAAAAATGGATTATTCACTTTTATTCTAATCTAATGAAATTAGATCTTTATTAAAACCAAAGCTACCAAAGTATTACATAAGTGTTCATTTTTAAGATCCTGGAAAAGAAAAGGCCCTTCTAAACACAAAACCAAATTCATAGACCATTACAAAAAAAAAAAGACTGGTATACTGAACTATAAACTTCAAATATTATGCATGTAAGAATGGGACACCCTATTCTTTCCTGTAGCTTTCTATAACATATGGTCTGAGAAATGGTCAAATTCTAGTATATTTAGAAGTAGTTTTTTTTTTTTTTTTTTAAATTTTCACATTTACACTAACCTTTGAAGTAGCAATTGGCGGAAGTTGCCACTCTGTGGGCTAATTGTCAGATGATGGGACAGGTAATTACACAGGCGAGCTCCCATATAAGAGAAATTCGGGATAGACGTGGCCTTTTTAAAAAAAGAAAAGTTTCATATGACATAGATACATCATTATTAGTGCAAATATTAACAGCAACATTCTAAAGAGGAAAAAATTGACTCCCCAAATTGACCATATGCAAGTATTTTGTCATTGTTAGACATAAGGAAATTAAGTCCATTTTGCCTCCCAACCTTACAGCAAGAACCACAATAAATACAAAAAAAGTTTAAAAATAATTTATCCCTAAACTCACTAGTTTGTAAATCTCTTCTCAGATCTTACAGCAGGTATGCTCACTATCAGGGAAGTCTTTTCTGGAGTTTTCTGAGCTAGTCAGTGAAGCCTGGCTGCTCCATACCTACTATGCATGGAGCTATTGTTTAGAGATCTCCTTTGAACCATCATCTGGACAGTTCACTTAGTTTCTCCAGTAGAGTTCCTTTTCCTGGTTCCAATGTCTTCATCCGTGGCATAATTCCTTTTTTTGATAGAGTACTTCCTTTGTTAATTTCTTTAGGGTGACAACAAAATTTCAAACTGGCTGGTCAGTGTAAAAAGATCTAGATGGTTTAACTTCTTAGATTCTCAAAAATCTTTTAGATTCTCTTTTAGCCTCATTCCATCCTATTCTAGAACCTTTTAAGTTCTGCATTATAAATCAGGGTGATTCTCAGCTTTAATACCACTGGCTTGGAATTCAACTTTAGATCTGCCAGGTCAGGTACCACTCACCCACCTGTTTTCTAGTCTTCCAAACTAGTGCTTTCATTTCTTTTCCTATTCTCTGACCTTATGGGTGTCTGCCTTTTAAAAATCCCATAGTGACATTTTAGTGGTGTTCGGGAGATATCAAAGTTGAATATCTGTGTTTAATCTGTCATCTTTTACAATATGTCCTCTTTTGTTAGTTGCTATGAATAAGTTTCCATAAATTACCTCAAGGAAACTAAGCAGCTGTTGATAAACCTATGCATCACTGATCACAGACTATTAATATGTTAAATATATTGACTGCATATTTGACAAACAGAGAAATAGTTGAAGCATATCAGGTTACTGGCCCTTTGTCCAGCCCTAGACAACTATAATAATGCAGTAGAATAAATAACTGAAATTAAGTAGGAGGAGGAAGCCAGAAAAGTAACAAGAAATAGATTTCTTTCATTTTCTTATCTCAAATTCCTTTTCAATCCATTTGTTGGCAAAAAGCAGAACTGAGGACAAACAGTGCAGTTCTGTCTTCCTAACGTTTCAGGCACTGCCTAAAACCTGAGAGTCGGCTAGGTAATCTTGGGCTCCAGTAACCATCCAGGATAACTTGGAAAAGCAGCCAAACATTAGAATAGGATATAATAATTAACTTGCATTATAATCTCCCTTCCATATATTCCAAATTTGAGATGCTTTTGTAGCAAGGACGTAAAGAACCTAAAGTTTATATTTCTGTTCATGGCCCTTTTTGACCAGTCTCACACTAAGAAATTCTGTTAAGCCAGTGTTGTCCGCTATATTTTTTGCTCTTAAAATAGCATTAACGAGGTCTGATGTGGTGACTCATGTCTGTAATCCCAGCATTTTGGGAGACCAAGGCAAGCGGATCTCTTGAAGTCAGGAGTTGGACACCAGCCTGGTCAACATGGTAGAACTCTGTTTCTATTAAAAATACAAAAATTAGCCGGGCATGGTGGTGCATCCCTGTAATACCTCAGCTACTTAGCAGGCTGAGGCAGGAGAATTGCTTGAACCTGGGATACAGAGGTTGCAGGGAGCTAAGATCATGCTACTATGCTCCAGCCTGGAAGACAGAGTGAGATCGGCGGGGCGGCGAGGACAGGACCAGTATACCGGGATCAAACAATTTCAAATGACTAAATTAGACTTTCAAGGAATTGAGATGTAAATCCTTAAAGTTTTAAAGAAAACAAAGATAAGTAGAAATGTTAAGACTCAAGACAGGATGTTTTATGGTTTGGCTTTTTTTCAAGACCTACTTATGAAGTAAGCAAATTCTATCAGTTTTTTTCCTCCCCTACTCTAATAATGCTATTCAATTCAACATGTAGGGGAAAACACTCGTAGTCTTTTCTGGTACTGCTAATTTCAGAGCCTATAAAACAAGGGGTAGGATTGGGGTGGATGGGTGGCACTTATGTAGCCTTCCTTTTAAGTGCCCATATCACCTTCTATACTAAACTGCCTGTATAGAGCTTTGTCAAAACAGGTGAATACTGCTTATATAGAACCTTGACTACAAAGGTGAACCTGGAATCCAGCCTGGCTCTATCCTTGGATCCGTAACTATAAGAATTTTATGTAAGACAGACTTAGAACTCCCATAAACTATAAAGAGTTAAGTGTGAAGGCAGGTGATCATGAATCTGGTCTCCCTCAAGGAGTAGCCACCATCCTTGGGTTTCAAGGAAGCTATACAAAGATCATTCCATGCTATAAGCCAACATACCTGTTGATATATGAGTTCCACAAGTTCTTGCAAAGCATCATCTGTTGTAACCCAACCATTCAGGGTCTCTGCAAACTGTTCAATTTCAGTTTCAAAACTTCCAGGCTGCTCTGTGAGATGATTCAAAAAATCCTGAACATATTCAGATAGAGTGGGATAATCCTCACAACCATCCTCATAGGATTCCTATGGATCAAAAAAGAAAAAAAAAGATTTAATTTATGTAACTGGCTAAAGCACATGAGGTGGTATATTACTAGCACAAATGCTTTTTAAAAGATCTTTCACATGATAAAATTTATGTTCATCAATAAAATTGTCAATTGAACTATCTTTCTTCCTTGCCTAAAAGCCAAAGTATTACAATATTAACAGCAGAAAGGTTCTGTTTAACTGAATAGGGAACTGTCTTCTCATTCTGGGTGGACTTATAAGATGGCTGAGGAGTGAAATTTAAACCAATATTTCACTATAATACCAACATCAAAATTAAGAATCTGATCTACTTACAAATGAAATAAGATCTAGGATTTGCTTCAAAATGGGAGGGGAAGTATGGACTAGGGATATAAAAACAAGAATGGCCAATGTAGCTTACTGTTGAGGCCACGAGGATTAATCATACCACTCTGTATTTCTGCAAATGTTTGACAACTTTTTTACTGAAAAACAAAAAACCAAACAAAAAAACCTAGGTTTATCATCTGTCAATCCCCAAGAGCAAAGAAATAAACAAAGCTTCTCAAGTAACTAAAATTTCATCATAGTGTAAATGGTAGGAGACCTTTTGGCAGCTACATCCAGGTTTCTAACAAAACCGTGATAGCAGCAGTAGTTTCCAGCTAATGTTGCTTCCACCACTGTAACCTTTGGCAGTTCCCAACCTTTTCATTAATGGCAGGAGACTGAATGGGTGACTTTTACAAAAGATAATAGACTTGGGCAGCAACTTTCACATCTCAATGCCTGGAATACCACCCAAAGCACTTTATTTTTTTTTTTGAGACGGAGTTTCACTCTTGTTACCCAGGCTGGAGTGCAATGGCGCAATCTCAGCTCACCGCAACCTCCGCCTCCTGGGTTCAGGCAATTCTCCTGCCTCAGCCTCCTGAGTAGCTGGGATTACAGGCACGCGCCACCATGCCCAGCTAATTTTTTGTATTTTTAGTAGAGACGGGGTTTCACCATGTTGACCAGGATGGTCTCGATCTCTTAACCTCGTGATCCACCCGCCTTGGCCTCCCAAAGTGCTGGGATTACAGGCTTGAGCCACCACGCCCGGCCTCAAAGCACTTTAAAGTTTACCAAACAGTCATGACCTAATAATAACTATATTACTTAATGAAATTTAACCTTCTCCAAACAGAGTCAAATGAAAACCACATAAAAAAGTTATGACTACAATACAGAAACATTTTCTAACGGGGTTAAGTTCTAAAGTCAGCGAGTACATAGAGAAAAAACAAGTTACACATGGTCAAAATACTCTTAGAAATCCTCGATGATGGAGAAAGACAGTCTTTTTTTTGAGACAGTCTTGCTCTGTTGCCCACAATGGTACAATCTCAGCTCACTGCAACCTCCACCTCCTGGGTTCAAGCGATTCTCGTACCTCAGCTTCCTGAGTAGCTGGGATTACAGGCATGTACCACCCCACCTGGCTAATTTTTGTATTTTTAGTAGAGACAGGGTTTCACCATGTTTACCAAGCTGGTCTCAAACTCCTGACCTCAGGTGATCTAGCCGCCTTGGCCTCCCAAAGTGCTAGGATTTCAGGCATGAGCCACCATGCCAAGCCCAAGACACACAGTCTTAGGAGAAAGACCAACACTGCCAATCGTCCAATTGTTCCTCTACTGTTGGTGCTTGATATGGTTTGGCTGTGTCCCCAACCAAATCTCAACTTGAATTCTATCTCCTGGAATTCCCACATGTTGTTGCAGGGACGCAAGGCAGAGGTAACTGAATCATGGGGGCCAGTCTTTCTTGTGATAGTGAATAAGTCTCACAAGATCTTATGAGTGTATCAGGGGTTTCTGCTTTTGCTTCTTCCTCATTTTATCTTGCTGCTGCCATGTAAGATGTGCCTTTCACCTTCTGCCATGACTCTGAGGCCTCCTCAGCCATGTGAAACTGTAAGTACAATTAAATCTCTTTTTCTTCCCAGTCTCAGGTATGTCTTTGTCAGCAGCATGAAAACGGACCAATACGGTGCTACCACTTCAATTGACCACTATTTAGAGGTCATGTTGTATACTTTTTATGTATCTTTATTTATTTTTTATTTATTTATTTTAAGATGGAGTCTTGCTCTGTCACCCAGGCTGGAGTGCAGTGGTATGATCCTGAATTGCTGCAACCTCTGCCTCACAGGTTCAAGCAATTCTCCAGCCTCAGCCTCCTGGGTAGCTGGCACTATTGCACCACCCAGCTAATTTTTTGTATTTTTAGTAGAGAAGAGGTTTCACCATGTCGGTCAGGCTAGTCTCGAACTCCTGGCCTCAAATGATCCAAATGCTTTGGCCTCGCAAAGTGCTGGGATTACAGGGTGAGCCACTGTGCCCAACTTATACATCTTTACAGACCAAAGTGATACTTAGCAAAGGTTGCAATGTATTATGAGAGGCACTCAGGAAGTAAGACGAGCTGCAGATACAGTAGATTCATGTGTCCCTTTCATTCACATATATTGTTCATTGAATAGAAAGGCAGATAAACTCTAATACATTAAATTTTTGTCACACATTTGAATCCAAGTTAAACACTCTACTTATAAGAGGAGGTATTAATGTTGATGAAATTATTTACTAATCATAAACAGTACAGCTATGACTCTCAGGATAAAGTGAATTAGTAAATTTGCCTATACTGGTGAAGAACAGATAGTAAAGCACAAAATGTTCAAGAAATGAATTACATTTTAAATTTCTAGGGGAATACTGAGTCATATCCCAAATGCAACAGCCATGTACTCATAACATAAAGGGGCTAAAGTATGAAAAGCATCTAAAAAGAATGATAAAAAGCTGTATTTCTTGGCACCTAGAATGGAACTCCAATTAATAAGCTAATAGCTACCAGCTGCATATACAATATGTGATAGACACTCTAAGTGCTTTGCCTGCATCTTGCTTAACCTAGAAATTTTTGAGGTAAGCATTATTAACCTCCCTGCACAGAAGAAACAGACACAAACCATTAAGTCACTTTGGTTATTCATTTAAAATGGTGTGACTGTGGGGGAATCAATTCAGCCAGGAGGTCCCCCATCTCTATAAGTGCTAAGTGCTGAAGACTGTCTCAGGGGATGGGGTACTGCCATGACATGAACGTCTACCATGAATAAAGTAGACAAGGCTCTCTTCTCATGCAGCTCATCCCCCATGATGCCAGACACATTCAGAAGTTGAAACATGCAACAATAAAAAAAAGCCAAGGAAAAATTCTTATAGTTAATATCTAAACTGAGAAAGAAAAAAGATCCAGCCATACAAATATCTAAGGAAAGATACTCTATGCTTTCTATGGGCACAAGCAGCACACGGGCCCCAAGTAGGCCTAATTGGTTTGAGAAACAAACAATAGCTAGAATACAGAATCTGAGGATGGGTGATAACTGAGGTCAATGAGGCAGTTAAGAAAATCTTAGAAGGCTCTTAAGGCAGAAGGAAGAACAGGATGGGGAGAGGGTGAGCGAGGAAGGGCCATGCCAACTTACGTGATTGTGCGTGGTCATACAACTAGTTAGAAGAATTAAGTGCAGAACAAAGCCCATACTTTTAACCTCTATATTAAACTCAAAATAAATGTCAAAAGCTTAAAACCCAACTTTGACTTTATGTACAAAGATGCTCATTGCCAATAAACCCATGTAACAATCCATTAAGAAGGAATTGGTTAAATACATGACCATGTATCTGTATAATGGAATACCATATAGCCATTTAAGAAAACAAGATACAGGGCCGGGCGCGGTGGCTCAAGCCTGTAATCTCGGCACTTTGGGAGGCTGAGGTGGGCGGATCACAAGGTCAAGAGATCGAGACCATCCTGGTCAACATGGTGAAATCCTATCTCTACTAAAAATACAAAAAAATTAGCTGGGCATGGTGGTGTGTGCCTGTATTCCCCACTACTCAGGAGGCTGAGGCAGGAGAATTGCTTGAACCCGGGAGGCGGAGGTTGCAGTGAGCTGAGATTGTGCCACTGCACTCCAGCCTGGCACCTGGCAACATAGTGAGATACCGTCTTAAAAAAAAAAAAAAGAAGGCCGGCTGCGGTGGCTCAAGCCTGTAATCCCAGCACTTTGGGAGGCCGAGGCGGGTGGATCACGAGGTCAAGAGATCGAGACCATCCTGGTCAACGTGGTGAAACCCCGTCTCTACTAAAAATACAAAAAATTAGCTGGGCATGGTGGCGCGTGCCTGTAGTCCCAGCTACTCAGGAGGCTGAGGCAGTAGAATTGCTTGAACCCAGGAGGCGGAGGTTGCGGTGAGCCGAGATCGCGCCATTGCACTCCAGCCTGGGTAACAAGAGCAACACTCTGTCTCAAAAAAAAAAAAAAAAAGAAAAGAAAACAAGATATATTTACAAGTATCAATACAGAAACATCTCCAAGATAGTGTGCTAAATGAAAAGGGTACAGAATTGCATTTTAGTACAATAGTAATAAAAAAGTCAGATGTGGTGGCGCATGCCTATAATCCCAGCACGTTGGAAGGCTGAGGTGGGAAAATCAATTCAGGCCAAGAGGTCCTCAATCTCTTTAAAATTAAAAAAAAAAAAATGTTTCAAGTAAAAAATAAGATTTACTTGTTTAGGCAGAGAAAATTTTGGGGAATAAAAACAAGAGACAACAGTACTTACCTCTAGAGTGAGGAAATGTTCCTACTGACTCTATTATAAAATTGTGAAAGCAGTTAGGCATAATTGTACACATTCATATACTTAATGTTAACTACATACATGTGTGAATTTTATAACTAAAAACTATGCTTTTAGTTTTTGATATACAGTTGCTAGTTTTACAGACTTGTATCCTACCACTATTAATGACAAGAAACAGCAGAAAAGCAAAGGTATGGGTCCCAGCTGAAGGTACTAATTTCCTGTTTCTATCAAATGTCATTCTTTGTGGCTGCTTAGAACACTGACTTGCAGTCTTTTTTTTTTTTTTTTTTTTTAAGTCAACAGAATTCTCTTTTAAGAAAATTTAAAATCTGATCAGTAAAAGAAAGTAGAACTGCTCTGAATATAGCAGAACAGAGGATCCAGAGCCTGCCATTTTAAGTAAAAAAGGAGGCATAGAGTATTCAGAACAGACAGGCACTCCAACATGTTTGAATTAAAGCCTGCATTACTTCTCTAGCACCAGATTTTTTGAAGCCACAAATTTCTTCAGTTTTCAATGTGGAGTCAAATGGCTTCCAAACAGGGATATTTTCAAGTTTTATTTTTCTTAGAATTCTATGGGAGATTGGGAGAGGTATCAATTAGAAAGTATACTTTTCATGGTAGGTACTCTATATACATTGTTAAGAGATAAGTGAGAACCTATTACAAAACAGTGGGAATAAAAGAAAACTGACCAGACACTACGGAGAGTGAATACAGTCAAGACTAGTTAGCTGGATTGAACTGGGGCAAGGGTGTGCAGGATAGGTGAGTCAATGTGCCACCAAGTTCTTCGCATAAGCAGCTAGTTAGGAAGAAGAGATTTGCACGAGATAAATAATTCTTGCACTTCCATACAGATCGTATACTTGCATTTGAATGTGAGGTCTTCAGGAAGTGGTCAAACAAATGAACACAGGCCTAGAGTTCAAACGAAGAATTAGATGTCAGGTTTATTAGCACACAAGAAAGCGACAGATTCTAGGAAATAAGTGGGATTAGCCAAGGAGGCAATAAAATGGAAGAAAGACAGAACCTCACTCACTGTCATCTGAGCGGAAAAGGAATGATCTGAAAGTTGGGAGGATCAAGTACTGCTGCAGAAGCCAAAGAAAAGGTAGGGGAGAAGAGGTGCTCATAACAAGAAATGCTACACAACAAATTCACACGTTGAAATCTAGAAGAGAATAATCATTGCAGGGTTGTGGGAGTGAAGGAGATCACGCTCAGAGAGAAAAAAACCAATTAGTACCTTTAATATTTAGTTCTTATAAAAATGAGAGGAACTTCTGATAAACTAAAAAGGTACCTTTGCACCTAGCACAGGACCTGGCACATGAGGACTTATAAACTGAGTAGATCCTACTGTGCTCAAAGTTTTAAAATGAGATTTAGGAGGATAGATTTAAAAATCAGAAAAGCAGAAAAATAGTATCAATATACTTGGGAAGATCAGATTGCAGAGATTTGAACAGTCAGTGAGAGACAGTGAATAATTTTACATATTGGAGAATGTTACTACTGAAAGGCAGAAGAAAAACTGGGAAGTAACTTGAAGGGGGATTCTCTTAGGAAAAAAGCTGGGTGTTTTGCAGGGTTGGGGGGAACTTCCATCTCAATCGATGCTCTATGAATTCCTATGTTAAATTTTTGGTTATGGTAAGTGAACTGTGATGAAATATTCAAGGCATAATGGTTTGTCTGAGAAGAAACAATGGCCAGAAATAAATGGATATAACAACTCACTGGTAAGAAGGCATGAAAAGTAGGAGATTCTAGCAGCAGGATTAGAGGAAGGACTGAACATAAAAGGGCTTGGTGCCTTGGAAGAGTTAAGAAAGCACAGCAGAAGACTAACATAAAGGCTGTTAGAAAAAGGATACCAGGCAATAGATTTTCATATGCAGACTCAATAAATGTCTGGAAACTCAGTCAGGAAGACTGCTAGAATAGAGACTCCCTGAAGACAAGAATTTCTGTCCATTTTTGTTTGTTGCTGTATCACCAGTGCTTGACTCACGATAAGTACTTGACTATTTGTTGAATAAGTAAGTGAATGTAGCTGACTTTAAGAAAAAGTTCCCTTTGCAACAAGAGCTTATCCTAAGAGTCAGGGGGAAAAAAGGATTCTGTTGTTCTGTGACTAACTGGATTGAGAAAAATGATCTTAGCCTTAACCATGGGTAAAGATTAGGGTAAACTAGTAAGGCTAGAGAACATACTAGAACAGGGGTAGTAAGCCTGAAAGCCTGTAGAATTCAGGTATATTACAAATGAATGAAATAAGCCAGAAAGCAAATTACAGCTTACAGACTCTATCTAAAGAAAATGCCTTGATTCTGCTCCAACCAATCTTTCCTCTATCAAAATGCCAGTCTACCATGGCCAGATCTTATGATTCCAAGACAACCAGAACATTCAAGTTTCTAATATCTAATTTAGGTTTGGTAATTAATTAAAACAACTAAAAGAAAAAACAAACCCATTCAGGGCCAGAGAAGACACCTGCAGGCCACACAGGTTCTGAGGTGCCTGTTTGCAATCTGTTTTAGTAAACTGAGCACAGGAGAGGCTGATCTAATAGAGGATGGCATAGAATGCCTATGATGACAGTGGCTCAAAATAAGTGGATTAACATGACTTTATATTCTACTCTACAGCCCCAAAGTCACTTGAACCATGTAAAAATAGTTGATACACAATTGTTACACACAAACACATCCCAGTATGTTTCTGTGTAACAACTGTGTATCAACTATTTGTGTAAAAACTATTTTTACATGGAAAAATAGTTAAGACACACTTGTATCATAAAACAGCCCAAATCAATAGGTAAGAAAATAAATGGAAACCTGCTTGTGGCTGCTAGAACAAGCATCCTTAAGAGTTTATTTAACCACTTACAGCTCTCTAACATGAGAGTAGTTTATTCAACTACTTACAGCTCTCTACCATTTTCTTCTGTGAGCTAAATACAATTTTCTGGCAAGAACAAGATGTTCTCATTTCTACTTTACAAGATAGACGGCCTTTTCACCTCATATAAATTGCTTTTCCTGTTATGCCTGTACCTTTTTCTTTGCAATCCCAAAGCTTTTTCCTATACAGTGTAAGAAGCATGGATTATCTAAAATATGGAACACAGCTTTTCCACACTTTTACTATCAAATATGGAAGGAGTGACAAAAAGATGTAATAAAAAAGGTGTGCCATTATCAGTGATAAGGGAAATACAAATTAAAACCACACTAGATACTATATGCTCACCAGAATGCCTAAACCTAAACAGAAAATACCAAGTGCTGGCCAGGAGGTAGAGCAGCTGGAAATCATATACTACTCAGAGAGTACAGTGGAACAATCTCTGGAAAACTACTTGGCAGTCTCTACTAAAGCTGGCTACCCTAAGTTCCAGCAACTCCACTCTCTGGAATATACAAAACAGAAATAAAGGCATATAGCCACCAAGACACAGAATATGTCCTATTCATAATAACCCAAAAGTGAAAGTTACCAGTGTTCATCAACAGATAAATGGGATATAGTCATGCAATGGAATGTTATAAAAATAAATCACCTCCAATTATATGCTACAATATGGAGTAATCTTGATATTGAGTGAAAGTGAAAAAGGATGAATATATTCTGTAAGATGACTTCATTTACATAAACTTTGAACACAGACAAAACTATTCAGTGAAGTCAAAACAGTGGTTACACTTGGACATCATCAACAATTAGGAGACAGAAGGGGCTTTTGGGGTGTTGATAATGTTCTATTTCCTGACCGGGATGCTGGTTAGTTGAGTGTTCACTTTATAAAAGTGAGCTAATACTTAGGTACACTATTCTCTGCTATACTTCAATAAAACTAAGAAGATAGGAAAGACAGGACTTAAGCTAAAGTATCATCAATCATTTCTTCAATGATTCCCTCCCACTTTTCTGTAATTAATCCCTCTGCATTTACTCATCTGGGTTCATCCAGTATAACAAATTCCTTTCTACATATTCTAACTGGGCTTTAGGAAAAAAGTGACTGTTTTTTAATGTTGTTATATAACTGACAAAGAAAAACTGAAAGTGTAAACGTTTTTTATACCCATGTAAACACTTTATCACAACCCCGTAGGACATTTCTGCATACAATAATTAGGACCAAAACTATGCCTATTTTAACATAATGGAATAACCACTAGAAACAAGAACACAGGCGTGTACTCTCAAGCTTACATTCTAATACCTTGAATGTAACTACAAAATATATTCCTGAATCAGCTTTGTTTCATTCTGAGTTCAATAACACAAAACATTCACAATAAAATGGTTTTTGGTTTTTTTAGGTGTAGTACAGAAAGCACAAACATACTCTGATTAACAAAGTAATAATCACATTATTCTAGTAAATTAACCCAGGGTTGTAGGAAAAGGGTGTACTTACTGCGTAATTGGAAGAATAACCTGACGGATAAAATTCAGGGGCATTCACAGACAGCTTAGACATTAATACAGGTGCTACAACCACCTGGGGTTTAGCCATTGCTGACTCCGAGTTCTGCTGTGGGATTTTATCCTGTGAACTAGGTGGAGCTCTCAGGGGCTTCGTTTGCTCTGCGAAAGAAAAAAAAAGGGTGTTAAAAACATGCATTCATTCCTTTGTACAACTTGCTGTATACTGAAAAACCATCTGAAAAGAACCTGTTTTTAAGAGTTAAATAAGAACCATCATGAAATTTATGGTTATCACCCGGATGTGTACAGCCTACAAAAAGGAACAATAGACTTGTGGCGGCTCATTTATGGACATACCTGCCTCTCAAATGAGTGCTGGCGAGCTTTTTTCCCCCTCTCTATTTTTAAAGGGGTCGGTGGAAAAGAGGTGGTTTTGCTCGCTAGGGTCTCGCTTTAGAGGACTGCGGAGGGGAGGATGATTTTTACTTCCTCCCGGGACAGCGAACTCCGAGACCGCGCACTCGGCCCCTCCCCCAGCCGGGCGCACAAAGGATTCCAGCAGACACCTTCCAAACCCGGTTCCAGGCCGTCTCTACCCGGTCACGCGGCCCTCTCGGGGAATGCTTTCGGGGAACTGGGGGCGGGGGCCGCAGACGGCGCACCAGGCCTCTGCACGCGTGGAGGACCGCGGGGAAGTGCTGGCCAAGGAGGACGGGGACCCTTAGAGCTGCTCCGTACCTGGGAGCGCCCCAGGCCGGGAAGGCCGCTGGGGGCTGGCGGGGACCTCGCACTGGGCCCCTGGCGGCGGGGCCGTCCTGGGCTGGCGCAGCGGCGGTGGCTGCAGGAAGCCCGGGGCTTTGGGTTGCGGCGGCGGCGGCTGCTGCCGCGCCGGCTCAGCAGGCCCCGCTCCGTTCGGGAAACCGCCGCCCTCAGGCCCGCCCCCTCCGCGGCCCAGGCCCCGGCTCCGGCCCCGACCAGCACCTGGGGCCCGATCGAAACCGTCCGACATGCTCCTCCTCCTCCACCCCCTCCTCCAAGGGCCGCCGCCGCTGCGCTCGCGATAGGACGCCGGGGGTAGGCGCCGCGGGTCGGCTGTAGCCGCCGCGCCTCACTAGGGCCTCATGGAGGAGGAGAGCGGCGGGTCCCGGCTCGGCTTCTCCGTGCTTCGGGCGGAGAGGACTGCAGCAGAGCACCCGCCCCCCTCGGCTACCCTCGGCTTTCCAATTCTCCCCCAAAACCCGGCTCCCCGCCTTCGGCGCAACAGGGGCGCAAGCGGGTCACAGCGGCCCCCTGCGGCCCGGAGGCCCGGGACGCGCCCGCGCGGCTCCTCCCGTTCGCCGCTGGCCGGCCGCCGGGCCCAGAAGGCCGCCAGTCGAGTGGCGTCTCCGCCACTGGTCGGCCGGCAGCCTGGCTCGGGCGGAGGCATCTCGGTTCCCGGGCCAGGCTGTGGGGGGCATGAGGGACGACGGCGACGCTTACCCTAGGCAGGCCCGACCTACTGGATAGTTCTCAGGAGAGACGTGCGAGACTGACGGTTGACGTCCGGAAAATAAAAACACGGGGGGAGGGGGCGTGGACCCTGCGCCAGGGGTCGCGGGTGCCCAGGTGTGTTAAATGACCCGGCTCCGGCCGAGCCCCGCGGACTGCTGGGGACCGGTCCCTGGGAGACTGCCACCTGCTCCGCTAGCATCGGGGGAGGGGAGTAGAAACGGAATAAATATATGCGCCCCCCCCCTTTAATTTACACTAGGTGTTTATGACAGTAGGTCACACCTAGGTTTACCAAGCTTCGTTCTCTTCCCCTTTCCCTTCCCCTCCAGAAATTTCAAGAAAATGTGCTACCTTTCAATGTAACTCTCCCCTCTTTTCCGTCTTGTACCAGGGCTGTCCAATGAAAATATAATGCGAGCCGCAAATCAAACCACTTATGTAATTACACATTTTCTAGAAGCCACTTTAAATGATTAAAAAGAAACAGATGAAATTAATTTAAATGTACTTAATCCAATATATTCAAATTGGTATTTTAACGTGATTTAAAATAGTATTTTTTTCTGTTTTTTAGATACTAATTGAAATCAAGTGTGTATTTTACACTTATGTCACATCTTAGTTGGAATTAGGCACATTTCAAGTGCTCAGGAGTCGCATGTGGCTAGTGGCTACTGCGTTGCACAGCACAATTCTAGACGTTATTAATATGTAAATTATTGTTTACTAATATGTAAATTATTGTTTTTGTCAGACCTGACAATGTTAATGCCAAATGAAGGATGAATATAAGTAATGATTAGGAAGGGAAAATTGATTACTGTTGGATTGATCCATTTCCACAGATGCTGATTTTAGCCTTGTGTTTCAAGCAGGATTTTGTGTTTTTCAATTTTTTCATCTTAAGAATCATTTCAATTAGGGACAGAAACTCTTGTTAACCGTTTTTCTCCTCTCACTAATAAGGAAAACAATGTCTTGGCCCGGCGCGGGGGCTCACACTTGTAATCCTAGCACTTTGGGAGGCCCAGGCGGGTGGATCACGAGGTCATTAGTTCGAGACGAGCCTGGCCCACATTGTGAAACCTCGTCTCTACTAAAAATACAAAAATTAGCCAGGCGTGATGGCTGGCGCCTGTAATCCCAGCTGCTTGGGAGGCTGAGGCAGGAGAACCGCTTGAAACAGGCGGAGGTTACAGTGAACCAAGATCGCGCCCACTGCACTCCAGCCTGGGTGAGACTCCGTCTCAAAAAAAAAAAAAAAAAAAAGTCTTCACCTAAATGAATGAGAAAATGGCTTTAGTGGGGGCAATCATGAATATGATTCATGCTATTGATGTTAGGCAAAAATAATGAAGTCAGGGAAGGAAGACAGTAATATGTGTGGTTCTTCCGTGTAGGGAAAGTATAGGATTCAAAGTCAGCCAGAGCTTAGTCAGGATTCCAGCCGTGACTATTACTGGCTGTGTGACTTTGAATAAGTAAGGGGTTTAGACGTCTCTCAGCCTCACTTTCCTCATCTGTGAAATATTAATTTTGTTGTAACACTGAGCATATATTACAGAGACAAGATTACAATTTCAACATTTTAAAATTAATTATTGTATGTGGTCACCAGTCATTTCTTGCCTGGGCTTTTCTATCATATAGAAAAGACCCATAAACTATGTGAAAAAACTAACAATGAGTTATGTTCCACTGAAGTAGATGCCCCAATTCTGTCCCAAACTTTTGTTTGCACTCACCACCCTTTTGTTTCTCGTTACAACTTTTATAATGAATAGCACCTTTCCTAACACCTGGGACTTTCATATGTGAGATAAGGCTATTCTGCATCCATGATAATGTCAGGACATCTTCACAGCCTCTTGTTAAATAAGTTAGGTAAGATGTCCTTTGCCTTCACCCTCTGTTATTATAAAACTTTTGCCGTTTTCTTTCTTTCTTTCTTTCTTTTTTTTTTTTGAAATGGAGTCTTGTTCTGTTGCCAGGCTGGAGTGCAGTGGTGCGATCTTGGCTCATTGCAACCTCTGCTTCCCGGGTTCAAGCGATTCTCCTGTCTCAGCCTCCCGTGTACCTGGGACGCCAATATGTCCTGCTAATTTTTGTATTTTTAGTAGAGATGGAGTTTCACCATGTTGGCCAGGATGGTCTCGATCTCTTGACCTCTTGATCTACCTGCCTTGGCCGCCCAAAGTGCTGGGATTACAGGTGTGAGCCACGGTGCCCAGCTGCCCTATTCTTATAATTTGTCGAGGGTAGACTTGGAGATAACATGAATGGATTTTGCATCATGATAACAATAGCTAATATTATTATGTGTTAGCTAATATTTATTATTATGTGTCTCACCTTTCAAGAGCTTTTTTATCATTTTATTTTATCCTCATACCCTGTGAAATAGACATTTCTATATCTATTATTAGCTAATAACAATAGCTAATATTTGGTATGTGTCTCACCTTTCAAGAGCTTTTCTTTTATCATTTTATTTTATCCTCATACCCTGTGAAATAGATATTTCTGTATCTTCATTTTACAGAAAAGGTGCCAAGATACTACAAGGGCTCAGATCCATCTTGGGACTGTTTTAGAGCTAACTGGCAGGTATTGCAAAATAGCCATGCACACACAGACACAGGTGAACATGTGAGAACCATGTGGAACTCCTTAAAAGGAATCATCAAAGTGCTCCTCATCCCCATGTATTAATTTATGGTGAAAGGAGAATAGAATTAAATTTGGACAGGCTGGAAAATACGTTGTAATATGGGAAAAGGACCTGCTGTGAACTACGAAAAAGGTGTTTCCTTAAACTGTACTTGAAAGGCATTCTCCAAGAAGACTTCCCAAGCTGCCTAATCTTAGATTCTCTCCCTTGTGATAAGTGCACCCTGGGAAAACTGTCTTGGTAGTTAGCTTGCCAGCTTATTATTGTTAGTATTTGGTTTACTTAAATGCCTCCTTTACTAAAGTAGTCCTTCGAAGACAGAGGATGCCTTTTAATCCTTTAGGTCCTAGCCCAGTACTTAGTCCATAACAATCTTTTAACAGAAATAGATCTCACCTGCAATGGTCCTGCTTTTCCTTAGGTCACTGGGTGATGACCATCTAGTGATGGTAAAAAAAAAAAAAAAAAAAAAAAGATTGGTTTTTAGAACTTACTGACTTCAAGATCATCATTTGACCTTGTAGGAGTAGACAGTGCAGCCTTTCAAGGCCAGCTAACAGGAGAAAATTTTCATAAATATGCAAGAGGAAATATTTCCAAACCACATGGTACAGTTTGTATGTTTGACCTTGTAAGCCTCATGTTGAAACTTGATCATGAATGTGGGGCCTAATGGGAGATGATTGGGTCATGGTGGTAGATTCCTCATGAATGGCATGGTGCCATTCTCACAGTAACAAATAAGTTATGGTTTCACTAGTTCTCAAAGAATTTCCTCAAGAGCTGGTTGTTGAAAAAGAGCGTGGCTCTCTCCACTTTTCTCATGCTTCCTCTCTTGCTATGTGATCTCTGCACACTGGCTCCCCTTCACTTTCTGCCATGAGTAGAAGCAGCCTGAAGCCCTCACCAGAAGCAGATGTTGGTGCCATGCTTCTAGTACAGCTTGCAGAATAGTGAGCCTAATACAACTATTTTCTTTATAAATTTCCCAGCCTCAGCTATTCCATTATAGAAAAAATAAAAAAGGATGAAGACACCACATGTTTGACAAAAGACCTATATCTAGAATATGTAAAGTACTCTCAAAACTAAACTGTATTGAGAGTACTCTAGCCAAGCACAATCCCAGCACTTTGGTATTACTTTATGTCAGGAGTTCGAGACCAGCCTGACCAACATGGTGAAATCCTGTCTCTACTGAAAATGCAAAATTAGCCAGGCGTGGTTATGTGTCCTTGTAATCTCTGCTACTTGGGAGGCTGAGGCAGGCGAATTGCTCAAACCTGGGAGGGGGAGGTTGCAGTGAGCTGAGATTGTATCACTGCACTCCAGCCTGGGCCACAGATCATGACTCCATCTGAAAAGCAAAAACAAAAACAAAACCCTCAACTGTAAAAGGACAATTCAGTTAGAAAAGGTGCAAACATACATGAAAGAACATTTCACTGAAGATAATATACAAATGGCATAAGCCTATGAAAAAATGTTAATATAATTAGCCATTAGGAAAAATTTTTAAAAATCAGTGAGATTTTACTACCTACTTATTCGAATAGCTCAAATAAACAATAGTGACAACACAAATTCAAGGATGTAGAGAAACTAGGAACTGTGTTGTTCATACATTGCTGGTGGGAATGTAAAATTCTGTAGTCACTCTAGAAAGCAGTTTGGTAGTTTATTTAAAAAGGTATACGTGTTAGGTACTGTATGACCCAGCAATTGTATTACTGGACGTTTCTCACAGAGAAATTAAGATTTATATTCACACAAAAACCTGTATCCAAATATTTATAGTGGCATTATTAATAATAGCCCCAAATCAGCAACAACCCAAATATCCTTTGATGAATAAATAAACAGTGGTACATTCATACTACAGAATACTACTCAGCAAAAAAAGGAACAACTACTCATATAAGAATGTTGATAGATCTCAAGATAATTGTACTGAACAAAGAAAATTCAGTCTCAAGAATAACTGTATGATTCAATTTATGATAAAATTACAAAGATGGAGAGCAGTTTAGTGGTTGCCAGGGGTTAAGGAGAGAGTGGAATATAAAGTCAAGTAGATGTGGTTATTAAAAAGTAGGTACTGTGAGAAAAACCGTGTGATGGAA